GATTAAACATATGTTTCATCTCCGACAAGTGTCAAGTTATATTATCATTGCTTAGCAAAAATTATGAAACCAAAAATATGCCAAGAATGCTTTGATGCACCCCCAAACTTAAACTACACAGTGTCCTCAATGTGGGACATGGAGTCAAGTGAGAGACAAAAATGACAAAGAGTAAAAAAAGGAACAACAATACCCAGGGGGAGGAAACGGCATTGTGAGACAAAAACCCCCAAACTTGAATTGGACTGCGCAACCTGGAGAGCAACATGAAGAACAAAAAGAAACAACCACAAACAGCATTAATAGCACAAGCATAAATACAGAAAAAGAATGTAGCGAAAGTTAACAGAACAGAAAGAATTTGCATTGCAAAAAGAGTTTACATGATGACAAAAAGAGCTGTACAGGGATCATTTCGACTAGAGCAACCTATACATAGCAAATTCTTACAGTTCAAAAGGAAAACAAAAGATACAAGAGAAATAGTTACATATGAAACAAAAAGATAAGGTCCACACTCGCAACAAGCTACTGTCCAGAAGGTAAACGGGCGAGGATGGAATGGAGGAGAGATTGAGTCTTACGCCGTTCAGCGGAAGCCAAACGACGTTCCTCAGCAGCGACACGGCGGTCTTCAGCAGCGAGACGATGATCTTCTTCAGCACGTGAAGAAGTCTCACACAGAGTCTGAGTGCACGCGGACAAAGAATTCTCAAAACGATCTAGTCGCTCATGAATACCGGCAATGGAAGCCTGGATGAAAGCCTGGTCCTGATGAGAGTCGACCGGAGGCTCTACCCTTGCAGCGGCTGCGGCGGTGGAGGCATCCTCAGAAGGAAGAGGAGGAGGAGCGTGGATGAACAGGGGAGCAGGAGGCTGAGGGGTACCAGAATGGCTAAGAACATTGATCCACCGGCGCTGGGTAAAAATTTTAATCTTTTCGCCTTTTGGTTCATGGGGAGGAACAACGAAACCTTTGTGCTGAAGGAGCCGAGTGATGAAAAATGGCAAAGGCAATTTCTGATTTTTAACTCGCGGAACCCGTGCATTATGAGCATGATGCCAAAACTTCATAAATGTGGTCCAAATGAGCTCGGGGATGGAGAACCATTGGCCTTAGTCCATGGCATATAAGGCTTGCAGAAGGAGGCCCCGACGCTCGGTGCTATGCACCAAAGGGCAGACATTGTGCTTGAAGACAGTGTCAATGAACCATAGGCGTTCTGGAAGATTGGTTTTGCGGATAAAAGACCGGGGCCGAGTAGGATCGTCAATAGTGCAAATGGCAGCGGCAATCTGCTCCACAGTTAATGTATCCGGCTCCTCATATAAAGGGAGATTTTCACGATTGACAATGTCATCGGGGCACTCAATGGGGCAACCAGAAACCTGAATGATGTCAGTCATAGTGAAAGCATAGGTGGTGCCATCAATGGATGTAGTGAGAGAAATGGGCGGCTCTTCAGGGCATTGGAGATTCTGATAGAAGAGGTGCACTACACGGGGGTAGGCAACCCGGGCAAGGGGAGCGCAAATATGCTGCAGACGTCGGATAGTCAATTCGGCGACAGCCCACGAAGTTGTGGGTAGAATGTCAAAGGCATCCGTGAGCGGAAATGAGAGTTCGTAGTTGAGTTGTTTGCGATCCCAAGGATCACGTGGTCGCTTACGAGTGACAGCACGGGCACCCGAGGAGGGTCGAGGAGGGCGAGAAGGACCGGCACGAGACATTTAGAGAGGTGGACTTGGTTGAGGAATTTCAGCGAACACCCGGCGTGCACCACAAAAAGGAGAAGGTGAAAATGAGTGGGGTGGAGGATGAAACCCAAAAATTTTTGGCCCTGCAATTGTAAGAACGACTCCCAAACAATCACAAATCTCCATTGCATGCAAGCCCATCCTCCATTGATACCAAAAATGTGAAAGAGAAAGAGAAAAAGAAACTTACCCCACAATGGAGAACCAAAGGCCTTGTGTGCGTGGGATAAATGGTGGGGATGGGTGGGAGGTTGATGATGGTGCTTGGGTTAGAGGAGAGTGGGGAAAAAGGTGGAGGAGGTGAAGGTGGGTTTGCATGGGGTGGTGAGGTTGAGGGTGGTTGGGTTGTGGAGTTGGTGGAGGAGAGGGGTTGGCAGCCGAGGAGAGGAGATGAGGTTGAGTGAGAGTGGTGGGCTGGGGTTTTAAAAGGGAGGGAGAGAGAGGCTTGGTTCGAGCACTTGAAGGGTGCCTTCGAGTGCTCGAAATGGGGGCAGTGGCCTCGACTGGTTTGCATGAGAGAGCCCGGGCAATGGCGAGCACTCGAAACTTGGGTTCGAGTGCTCTAGAAATCTGCAAAGAGGGGTGGGTTTGGGTTGGTGTGGTGGGTTTGTTGTGGAGATGGTTGGCATGGTGTGGGGTGCATGGTTGTGACATGCATGGCTGCATGGTGGCTGAGAGTAGAGGTGGTGATTGGGGTTGTGAGAAGGAGAAGGAAGGGTGGTGGAGGGAATTTGGTAGTGTGTGAGGTGGGATGCATGCATGGGGTGTGCATGCGAGCTGGTTGCTTGGTTGTGGGGTGGTGGGTTGGTTGGTTTGGGTAGAGAGAGAAAGCTGGTTGCATGGTTGGCAAGCATGATGGGAGGTGGATGTGTCGAGAGGGTGGTTGAGATGGTGGAGTGTGGAGTGGGTTGATGTGGTGTATGATGGTGGGTTGAGATCATGGGTGCATGCATGGGTTGGGTGAAGCTTGCATGCAGGGTGGTCACGGGTGCATGGTGTGCAGTGAGTTGGGTTGTATGAAGTGGGTTGTTTGGTTGGCGATGAGTAAGGGTTTTTGTGTGGTGGAGAGAGAGAGGAGTTGAGGTAGGTGGTGAAGCTTGAGGCTGCGGGAGAGAGAGATGGGTGCTGTGGGTTGAGGTTTGAGAGAGATGTGGGTCGATGAGAGGGTGGGTGGTTTGAGGGGGTGAGGTTGGTGGTTGAGTGTGGATGAAGTTTGTTGGGTTTGAGTTGCCGAGAGTGAGGGTGGTGGATGGTGGGTTGGTGAGGATGATGTGGGGATGGGGAGGTGGGGTTGAGGTTGGTGGGTGGTGTTGGTGGTGGTTATAGAGGTTTAGGTTGTGTAGAGAGAGGTTGGTTGAGTGTGAGAAGGTTGGTTTAATGGTGTGAGCTTGCATGGGTTTGGTTGGGTGGTGAGTGTTGGGTGTGTTGGCGAGAGAGAGATGGTGTTGATGTTGGTGTGGGATATCGAGCACTCGAAATGTGGCTTCGAGTGCTCCAAAAACAAGCAGAAGTCTCAGAATTGTGTTGTGGAAGTTTCGAGCATGCTAAAATTTTTGGTTGGAGGCTCAAGCACTCGAAATGGGAATTCGAGTGCTCGAGATGAGGACAGTAGCTGGGGATGAGGTTGAGAGGGGGTTCAAGCACTCGGAATAGGTTTGAGAGAGCTCGAAAATTGCAGCCAAATTAAAGTGAAGCTTGAAAACTAAATCTCTCGGCATGGAGCTTGAATGTTGGTGCATGGCCATGCATGAGCTTGCATGGATGGTTCAAGGAATGAGATCATTAATACATGGAAGCATAAAGAATTTGAGCAGGGGGCTCGGATAGGAAAGAATGCATGCATCAGAGAAATGCATGCAACCATGCATGAAAAATAGAAATGCATGCAAGCAAGGAACTTTGCGGATCAGGATAAAATTTTGGAGGAGCATGAAATTCCTATGCATGCAATGTTGATGGATTCAAGCCAATGTATGAGAAAAATTTAAACGCTGCAACATCCTCTCATTCAATTGGATGGAAAATTGGAAAAGAACTCTCTTTTTTTTTTTTTTTTTTTTTTTTTTTTTTTTTCAAACTTTTCAATTTCTAAGGCATGGAAAAATTGCCAACTTTCAGAACATCACACAAAGCATGGGTGGATGTAAGAAAATTTTCAAACCTTTGCAACATCACACAAAGCATGAATGAAATTTATGGAGAAAATTTTAAACTTGCAAATTCATTCCATTCCAATGCATGGGAAATTTTGAAAATTTTGTTTTGAAACTTTGCAAATTTTTTTTTTCAAACTTTGCAATCATCTCAAATGCATGGAAATATTTTTTTTTTTTTTTTTTTTTTTTTAAAAAAAACTTTGCAACTCCATGTTAATTCAATGCATGGAAAAATTTAAACTTTGCACTTTCATTCCAATGTAATGCATGGATGGAAAATTTTGAAAACTTTTTAACTTCTTTCTAATGCATGGACAATTTGGAAAGTTTTTCAAAATGTAGCACCTTTCCAACGCATGGATGATTTTGAGAAACCATGATCCAACAATGCATTGAAGATGAGAGGCTATGCATGTGAGTACCATGTCAAAAGTCCGAGAAAATTGCCTGATAGAGCCAAAAACTTCCGGGAATGAAAACAAGAATTAAGACGGTCTAAGAAGCCAGTCTAAAAATGTGAAACATAACTTAAGATAGTTCCAGAGAAAGTGAAATTTTGGCATTTCTACACCGTTTCCCAGAAAATTTTGCAAGGCATGAGCAATTTCAAAGAGACGGAGGCTTGGAAATTGAAAGAATTGCTTCCTTTGCTTTGCTAAATTTACTGTCGATAGCTAGACAACGCTAGAGCAGGCACTAATCCTCATAAATTGGATCTGTCAAGAGGACTTCCTCAACTTTTCGGGTTAGGATGGTGCCGTCAATGCAAGGCTTAAGCCGTTGACCATTTACCTTGAAGAGTGATCCACTTGCAGGATCATGAAGTTCGATTGCTCCATGAGGAAAGACGGTAGTGACAATGTATGGACCATCCCATCTTGACCGGAGTTTACCGGGAAAGAGTTTCAAGCGGGAATTGAAAAGCCAGACCTTTTGTCCCAGGGCAAAAGACTTTTTGACGATGTGTTTGTCATGAAAAGCTTTAGTCTTTGCCTTGTAAATTTTTGCGCTTTCATACGCGTCATTACGCAATTCCTCAAGTTCATTTAATTGCAACGCACGATTAGAGCCGGCTTGTTTGAGATCAAAATTGAACCTTTTTATGGCCCAATAAGCACGGTGCTCTAATTCTACCGGGAGATGACATGCTTTGCCAAAGACAAGTCGATATGGTGACATGCCAATGGGTGTCTTATAAGCTGTCCGGTAAGCCCAAAGCGCATCGTTTAGCCTTAATAACCAATCTTTGCGGTCCAGTCTAACCGTTTTTTCTAAAATGTGCTTAATCTCCAGGTTAGAAATCTCTACTTGACCACTCGTTTGAGGGTGGTAAGGTGTAGCAACCTTATGAATGACGGAATACCTAGCAAGGACGGATTTTAGATAACGATTTCGGAAATGAGATCCGCCATCACTAATGTTTGCTCGGGGCGTACCAAAACGACTAAAGATGTGAGACTGAATGAAATGGATCACGACTTTATGATCATTGGTTTTGGTAGCCTCGGCTTCAACCCATTTAGCCACATAATCCACCGCTACAAGGATGTACTCATAGCCATAAGAAGATGGAAATGGTCCCATGAAGTCAATCCCCCACACATCAAAAATTTCAACAATTAAAATGTTGGTGAGGGGCATCATGTCTCTTCGGGACATGGATCCAAGTTTTTGACATCGTTCACACGATTTGCAAAAATTGTATGCATCCCGGAATAAGGTAGGCCAAAAGAATCCGCTTTGAAGGACTTTGTTAGCGGTCTTTTTGGCACTGAAATGGCCTCCACAAGCAAGAGTATAGCAAAAATTTAAAATGCTTGTGGCCTCGGTTTCAGGAATACATCGCCGGATGATTTGGTCCGGGCAATACTTGAATAGTTCCGGATCTTCCCAAAAGAAATGCTTAACTTGGGAGAAAAACCGGTCCCTCTCTTGTTTGGACCAATGAGCTGGAATTTTGCCAATCGCAAGATAATTGACAATATCCGCAAACCATGGAAGAGTAGAATGTGAAACTTGAAGAAGTTGCTCATCCGGAAAGGAATCACGGATGGCTGCAAATTCTAAAGATTTCTCAATAAGTAAGTGAGAGAGATGATCGGCGACAACATTGTCGGTCCCTTTTTTGTCCCGGATGTCAATGTCAAACTCTTGAAGTAAGAGGATCCATCGAATTAAGCGGGGTTTTGTCTCTTTTTTCGCTAACAAATGCCTAAGAGCGGCATGATCTGAAAAGACGATGACCTTGGAGCCAAGAAGATAGGAGCGAAATTTATCCAAGGCGTACACCACAGCTAGCAATTCTTTTTCAGTGGTGGTGTAGTTTAATTGGGCATCGCAGAGAGTTTTGCTAGCATAATAAATGACATGCGGAAGTTTATCCACACGTTGGCCCAAAACCGCCCCTAATGCATAGTCGGATGCATCACACATGATCTCAAAGGGAAGAGACCAATTAGGGGGTTTCATGATCGGGGCAGAGGAAAGGAGAATGCGAAGTTTGATGAAAGCTTCCATGCAAGCGTCATCAAAATTGAACGGAACATCCTTGGCTAAGAGATTACACAAGGGCCGTGAGATTTTGCTAAAATCTTTGATGAAGCGACGATAGAATCCGGCATGGCCAAGAAAAGAACGGATTTGACGGACGGAATTCGGAGGAGGAAGATTAGAGATTAACTCAACTTTTGCCTTGTCTACCTCGATTCCCCGCTTAGAAATGACATGTCCTAAAACAATGCCTTCTTGGACCATAAAGTGGCTTTTCTCCCAACTTAGAATGAGATTCGTCTCTTTGCATCTTTGGAGCACAAGAGATAAATTTTTGAGACACGAGTCAAAGGAGGAGCCAAATACGGAAAAATCATCCATGAAAACTTCCAAGAACCTTTCAACCATATCGGAGAATATGGACATCATGCACCTTTGGAACGTTCCCGGTGCATTGCATAGACCAAAAGGCATGCGTCGATAGGCAAAAGTACCAAAGGGACATGTGAATGTTGTTTTCTATTGATCTTGGGGGGCGATTGCCACTTGGTTATAGCCGGAATAACCATCAAGAAAACAATAGAAGCTTTGGCCGGCTAACCTTTCTAGGATTTGATCAATAAATGGGAGTGGGAAATGATCCTTCCTAGTTGATGAGTTGAGTTTACGATAGTCAATGCACACACGCCACCCGGTGGTGGTTCGTTGTGGCACGAGCTCGCCCGCTGAATTTTCAACAACGGTGAGCCCGGATTTCTTGGGGACAACTTGTGTGGGGCTCACCCACTTGCTATCAGAGATAGGATAGATGATTCCCACATCTAGCAATTTGATCACCTCTTTCATGACCACTTCCTTCATGTTTGGATTTAACCGGCGCTGGACCTCTCTAGTAGGCTTTGCGTCATCCTCCATATGAATGCGGTGCATACAAATGGAGGGGTCAATTCCTTTTAAATCTGCCACTGTCCAACCAATAGCTTCTTTATGCTCTTGGAGCACCGCTAAAAGGTTTGTCTCTTGGTCTTTTCGAAGGTCCGAGGCAATAATGACCGGAAGGGTTTGCTTTGGACCAAGGAACACATACTTGAGATGGGCCGGGAGCGGCTTAAGCTCAAGTTGTGGCGGAAATAACAATGATGGGACCGGAGGAGTGGTGGAATGTTGGGGAAGTGGTTCTTTTGGAATTTTCCAAGGAGGTACATCCATGATAGCATTAATATCAAGAAAGGAATTGACTTCTTGAATGGCTTGATCAACATCAAAGTTTGAGAAGTCAAAATGGGACATGCAAGTTTCAAGGGGATCTTTGCTTAGGATGAAGGGGAGAGATTCTTCGACCACTTCATCGATGACATCCACAAGAAAACAATCATCCTCATTGGAGGGATGTTGAGTTGCATGAAAGATGTGGAGTTTGACTTGCATGTTTCCAAAAGCAATGTCCATCACCCCGGTTCGGCAATTAATTGATGCATTAACCGTGGCTAAAAATGGCCTACCAAGGATCACGGGAATGTGTTTTTTTGGGTCATGGACCGATTCCGTATCAAGAACCACAAAATCTACCGGGAAGTAGAATTTGTCCACTTTGATGATAACGTCCTCGAGAATACCTCGTGGATGCTTGACCGATCTATCGGCAAGTTGCAAAACCACGGAAGTCGGCTTAAGATCTCCTAAACCAAGTTGTAGGTAGACCGAGTATGGAATTAAATTCACACTAGCTCCTAAGTCAAGGAGGGCCCTCTCGATTTTGCTGTCACCAATGACGCACGAGATTGTGGGGGCACCCGGATCCTTATACTTCGGGGGAGTGCTGTGCTGAATGATAGCACTAACATTTTCAGTCAACCTCACTTTTTTTGGCAAATGATTTTTAGAAGTGCACTTTTGAGTGCACAAATCTTTGAGAAATTTTGCATAGGGAGGGATTTGCTTGATAGCATCCAAGAGGGGCAAGTTAATCTTCACTTGCTTGAAAACTTCCCACATGTCTTGAATTTTACAATTCTTGTTCCCAAAATGTGTCGACTCTTGAAGACGTTGAGGAAACGGAGCTTTTGGCTCATAAGTAGTTTCCACATTTGGGGAGACATGTGTGGGATTTCCGTGAATGGTATTTGGACAAGAATTTGGATTAGAAGAGCTTGAATTTAGATTTTTCAAAGGAGAAACTTCCTCACTTTTATCTCCATCGACCTTGTTGTCAACCACTCTACCACTCCGAAGGGTGGTGATAGCTTGAACTTGTTCATGAGCCGGCCCACTCGGAGGAGGGGTTTCGTCAATCACATGCATTCCTCTAGGATTTTCAAAAGGTTGAGAGGGAAACTTGCCCTTGTCCTTTGAAGCAATTGATTCACCGAGTTAGCTATTTGGCCCACTTGATTTTCGAGATTAGCTATGGATTGAGTATGAGAGTGAACCATTTGGAGAGTAGGCTGCAAGGATGTCAAGAGTTGCTTGTTGGCATCCATTATTTGCTTATTTAATGATTCCATCATTTGCTTGTTTGCAGCTACTATCTCGTCAGTTGGACACACAGGAGGTTGATTGGAGACATTTGGATTGTAAGGGGGACGGTAGCTTGAAGAGGCTTGGAAAGGTCTACCTTGATATTGAGAAGAGGGCTGATTTTACCGCCCTTGGTTTTGGAATTGGGAATTCTGTGGGGCTTGTTGCCGCCACGAGAAATTCGGATGATCTCGCCAACCCGGATTGTAGGTGTTGGAATATGGATTGTTCCCGGGCCGCGAGAACATGGCATTAGCTTGCTCTTGGTTGGGACTAGGAAATTGCTCCGGTGTGGGGCAATCTTCCGAGAGATGGAATGGACTAGGACATGAAGCACAAACTGAACTTGCCGAATTTTGAGACAATGAAGGAGGAAGATGTGGTGCCATCAATTGGTAGAATTTATGAGCGATGGCATCCACTTGAGATGATTCCTCCCTTATTGACTTTGGTTGACAAGGGTTGGTGTTGTTTGGAGTGGTTGCGGTCGGAGCCCTACGAGAATTGTGTTGAAGTGAATTTTCACTCAAATTCTCAAGTAAGGTCCAAGCCTCATCCGCATTCTTGGACATGAACATCCCACCACAAGAAGAATCAACCATGAATCTATGGGTTTCGGTCAAGCCAGCATATAAAGATTGCACTAATTGCCATTTTGGGATCAAATGATAAGGACATTTTCGAAGAAGATCTTGTAGCCTTTCCCAAGTCTCGTGGAGTTGTTCTCCATCAACTTGAGAAAAGCTTAGAATGGAACGCCTCATTTTGTTGGTTTTACTCACCGGATAGTACTTCTTAAGAAATTCTTGTTGCAATTGAGCCCAAGAAGTAATAGAGTTGGGAGCGAGGGAGTTCAACCAATATTTTGCCCTATCTTTTAGGGAGAATGGGAAAAGATGGAGATGAAGTGCATTGTCCGGAAAACCTCTCAACCGGATGGTCGAACAGATTTCAAGGAACTCATCAAGATGCTTATATGGATCTTCATTATCAAAGCCATGAAATGATGGAAGCATTTGAATGGTACTAGACTTGATCTCATATTGAGCTGCATCGATGTTTGGCATCACTATACAAGAAGGAGAAGCATAGGTGGTAGGAATGAAATGATCTCTAAGAGTCATTGGTTCTACATTAGGAATTTCAGCCCTTTCATTCCCCAGATTTCCTACGTTATCCCTCATTATATTGAATTCAGTTTCAAGGTCCCTTGTAAGAGTGGGTTTCCTAAGGTTCCGTCTAAGAGTTCTTTCAAGTGAATTTATATCAATAGGCGAGTCAAGTGTGGGAAGAGAGAGTGACCTACGGCCAAACATCAACAATTCACAACAACATCATCACAACAAATCTTTATCATCAACTCCACATACGATGTTCCCTTTCTCCTCAATTATCAAGACAGAAAATAAATGGCCACGACAAGGACCGATGCTTGGAATTGAAAATACACAATTGAAAAAGCCTCGACAAGGGCTTGCAATTTATCTACTTCTAAGCTTAACACATGCACGATATTCACAATTCGAAACTAGAAGGTCAAGAGACTTACCTGGGGGCCTCTAGACTTACAATTTGCTAGCATTCCCCACGGCGAGCTTCGAGTTCCTAGAATCTCACTTACAACACAAAAATGGTTAAACCACACAAGAAATATTCACAAAACACAGTATTCACAATCAAACTAAATTTAACCCTAGAACTTTGGTTGCTAAACCGTTTGCAGTCCCCGGCAACGGCGCCAAAAATTGATCGGTTGGTCAATTAAACATCAACCTTCGCAATAGCACGAATCATTGTAAAATAGGGCTATTGGTCGGGTAAGTCGAACCACTGGGACTGCGCTAGTCTATGGCAACCTAAGTGTCTAGAATTGTTCTTAGAATGATAAGGGGTTTATAGAGGTTTGTTGGATGTCACTTAAGCTAGGAAATTAAAAGTGCATAAAACAATAAATTGCAAGAATTCAAGGGAGTGAAGTACAAGTAAAGAAGGCTAGGGAAATGAATCCACCTCCATCCCTATACACATGCTAGGTTAAGATTAATTTAAGGGAAAAACAACATATATGATAGTCATGATACATAACAATACTAGGTTGCTATAATATCCTCAAGAAGTTCATTTAAATAGGAAGGCAAGAATAAACCATCAAAGGTTCACATGATCAACTACCTAAACTAAAATGTAGCTTAGAACATGCTTACTAAGTCAAGGATTATCAAGCCCTAATTTAAATGGTGAATGCACATAAAGCAAAGAATCAAGTATAGACCATCAAAGGGAAACCCTAAGCCATGAACTATCTAGGTTCTCCAACTCCATGCCATTGAAACCATTCCATGATCTAACTTCCATTGTCACCATGGAAGTGCAAGCAATATGATTACGAAAAGTAACCATCCAAGACAAGATGAATAACTCACAATAATCATTTATAAACATTCAACATTCATTATAACAAAAATGAGGCTCTTGACCATGGAAAGACTATCAAAAACACATTGTAATCCCCAAAAATAAACTATACTAACACATGCTTACAAGTGAGGGGTTTCATCACCTCCCTAGAAGAGGAGTTAGTTACCCATTGGAGCCTTAGAATGAAGAAGAAGCTTGAACTCCATCTCTTACAAGGGACCTTGAAACTCCTAATCCCTAAGGAAGGACTCGAGTCTATTCGACTCATTGTTCCATGACGTTTGAAACAAGACCCCAATGATGTCATCACATCAAGGTCACCACGAAACTCCAAGAGATGATGCTCTAGCATCAATCTCAACCAACCAAGCTGGAACAACCCACAATGCCTAAACAAAACATAAAGGTAAACAGTTGACACATAATATAGCAATAGACCACATACTCACACAAGTAGTAAAGTCACATAAGGCATGTCAATGTATGCATCATACGATCATGCTAAAAATAACAAGTACATACAATACGCTAAGGCAAATAAGCATAACCCACATGCTAAGCAGACAAGCATAAATCAACATGCTGAAACAGATGAGCATACACAATGTACTCAGACAAACAAGCACATACAACATGCTAAGACCCACAAATATATACAATGTACTAAAGCAATAAGTATATATATCATGCTGAGACAGTTAAAGTAAACTTCTAAACATACATCCACATAAGCACGTAAACATGTTATCTAGAAGCAACTAAACACATAGAGCATGGCAACACAAGCATGATATACACCCAAAACCCGTCGTCCTAAGGTTTTCAAACCTAGGAGCTCTGATACCACCTGTGACGACCCTGGATTTTTTTTTTTTAAACCCAGTGTGCCCTGTGATGAACCAAAAGACGACCCGATAACGGATTCAAAATGCGGAAGCGAAAGAAGCAACATGACCTCAAGAGATATACGTCATCCCTAAGGCACCAAGTGACTCCTCATGAAGCCACGGAACTCAGTTTAGCCAACAAATGAAGTAAGAATGCCAACCTGAAAAGAAATGAACCAAGGGTAAAATGGTTATTCCAAACTGAAATAGGTGCCACCGTGCACATCATTGGCAAGACAACAAAAAATTAACGAAGTTAGACTCAAAAATGAACCGATTTAGACAAGAAATAAAAGAGATATGGTTTTCCAAAGTTAGAACAACAAGGCTGTCCAAGAGAAGCTGAGAAGGGGTGGTTCCAGGGAGAATCAGCCAACTGAAATGTAACCATCAGCCGGTCAAAACTCAACCGTCGGTCGGCCGAACCCTCATGGTCAACCGACCGAAATGCCTAAAATCCCAAAAAGGCTACTGGAATGGTCTCGAGGGATTCGTCAGCCAACCTATGAAGCTCCATCAGCCGACCGACACACCTGCTACTGCTATAAAAAGCTGCTGTAATGTGTGGAAATGGTGCTTGGAACGTCTCCAAGGTTCTACATGCTTTCTACATGATCTCAAAACATTTCCTAGTTTCATTCAAGCATCTAAAACATGTCAAACTAAAGAGGAACTCAATTGACACCCCAATGCAAGGTTTTGCATAAAAACTTACAAAATCGCCCAAAAATAGTTCCAAAGTTGAAATTTGACCGGTCCTTGTAAGGGCCGCTACACCATATCAAGCTTGAGGAGTGTGCAATAAGGCGAGGGCCAAGAGTTTTACATTTATAAAAGTCACTACTACCTTCACTAAAAATATAGCTAGGGTGAGTAGGGATCATCCCAAAGGATTGGAGTCGTACTTGGTTGTGGAATCACAATTAGGGTTAGTAGGTCGACTAATCAAACAAATGGTTGGTTGGTTGATTAAACTAGAGAGCAAATTAAATTAAATAATTGAATGCAATAAAGAGTAAGTAAGAGAGAGAGATCTTGGGGGTTTAGAGGTCACCACCAAGCAATGCTTTTCTATATCCTTAACAAGTGACTAAGGAGGGTAATATGTGTTGCAATATTGATGTGTGTGTGTGTTTGGTTGATTCAATTAGCAAGGGTGACCAATTAAGCATA